CTATAATTTAAATGCCAACCGCTGTATCTGGTTTGAAAAAATATTGTAAATAATTATTCGTTTATTCGTCTAAAATCTAAAATGTTTGTTACTTTTATATAATTCAAGGGATTTGTGTTTATCTTAAACAAAAAATAATTTTAAAGATAACTATCTATTTTAAATTGATGAAACAAAATGCTTGTTACCTTCAAAAGATCTGTTTTAGATACTCTATAGTTTTGGTACACAAGCGGGTTCAATCTTTAATATTGTCTGAACATTCACCAGAAATATAAAGATCTTATGATTTACTGCGGTCTTAAAGAGTATAAACTTATAAACCTTATAAAGGCATATTCCTCAAGATCACGTCCTCTAGTATTAAGTTCTTTCAAGATCAACAGTTAGGCTTCTGATATACTAATTAGGCTATACCAAGTTGATTTTCTGTTTAACATAATATGAGATGACTTGTAAGAGGGAGGTGGGAAATTAAAAAAAAACAATAATATTAGATACAACTTAATGCTGCAATCTTATTAGTTAATTTGATATGTATTGATCTATATAGATTTTGAAAAATAGAGAGGTGTTATTTAATATTATATACATTAGTTTTTATAATTTTGAAAAATTGAGGGTGTGAGGTTATGTTAAACAAAAAATCAAATTGGTCTGGCCTTATATAAGATACAATAGTAAAAATTAATAAACAATTTTATTTTTACAAATTGAATTTACTTGAAATGCCATTTTTTACTTACTCTCAAATTTTAGTGAATTTTGAATAACTTTTTATTTATAAACCTTTCATTATGCGTTTTGGATAACTTTTGATTTATGAACCTTTCGTTATATATTTTGGTGCAGAAAATTAATTTTTATGCTAAAGCATACCATATTTGCATATAATAGCAGTTAATTCGAATTTCGTTTATCTATTTGGTCCTAAAATAATATACACCCACCTTTTATATAACTTAATGCTTCTACGTATTAAATTAGTATATTATTTTATATATATTCTTATTTGGGTTCATGAATAATCGAGATAGTTTTAACACAATAAAAGCGAATAACTTTCAACAACTCCTTATCGAGAGTGAATAACCCTCAGACTGGGATAAATAACCATTAATGAGAGCTCAGCATTTCTTCAAAGTTAAAATATATAAATACAATTCTTGAACTTATAAAGAGTTTATTTACTAACTAATTACTCTTATTAATAAGCAATTATATAGAATAATTACACCTTGCATAATTGTTAATATGTATTTAGGGGATGCTTGAAGTCAGGTCCATCACAAATTTAAATTAATATTAAGGTTAGTGTCAATGTGTAATTGTCTCCTTGACATTTTTTCTTATTCTACTAAGATAGGTTTATATATTCATTTCGCATTTTTTACTTTTTTTACTTCATCAGGCTAATTCACATAAACATATAAGCAGATTTGTATCAATATGCAAAAGAGAGAACAGAGTACCCTAAAAATTTTTTATAACAGAACAGGTTATTGATAATACAATTGTCTGAAAAACTGAGACAGAAGGTTTATTTTTCATAACAATAACTATATTAAACTACATATCTCACTAGATCTAGACTAATGGGTTTTGAGATAACCTAATGGACTTTATGTATATTCATTAAATCCTTCTTGCAGAATAGACCCTCGAAAAATCAAAACAATTATCCTAATCATTCGTCAGACCAATCAAAAGAAATTAAATAAGAGGTTTAACCCAAATTTAGTGTCCAATTGATAAAAATCCGCCCATACAACAGAAGATTTCGTGATGGACCTAGCTTTAAGCAATCTCAGCATTTAAAAAATTTAATTTACAAACTAATTTGAAATGCATTATAAAGATTGTTTTATTATTGTTGACTTGCTAAAATAATTTTATCAAATTTGTAAAACAATAACAATGATAAATAAAAAGATTTAAAAATGTAAATTTTTTTAAAAAAATTTGTAGTTTTCGTGATAGCAAGAATAATAAAATAAGCACCAATTTTATTGCAACAAAACAATGACTTCGATTTTCTGTGCTATTCCTTTATAAAAAACATTTCCTTCTCAAGTTTAGAAAAATATTATACTGAGTTTGCGGTCTACCAAATAGCAACTAAAGAATTTGCTAAATATAAGTTTAAAACCTTTTATATAGGAGAATCATTACTTATTGAAGAATTGACTAAAAAAACTATCACTATGATAATTGGTTGTTTTGCATTCAAAGATGGGTTAAATTTAAATATAAAACCCAACTTGTTCATACTAGAGGTGCAGGCGAATTGTCTCAATGATTACCATAACCTTACCAATAATTATAGAAATAATCACGGCATATTACGATAAAGTTATGGCAATCATTGGGACGATTTGTCTGCACCTCTAGTTCATTTTAACCTAGAAGAATATAATGATTATAAGTAATTTAATTTTATACTTTAAATTAAGGTTACGATTTCTCAAAGTGTAACTCTGCAAATTCAAATATTATAAAACAAACCTATCATTTACGATCTGCCAATTGCATCTGCTTTCGGAATTTTTTCTGTGCTTGTTCAAAACCCTTCTGAACCACATGGAAACAATGCTATTTTTTGTTTAAAAAAGAGAGTCTATAATAGTATGAATGGAAAAACTACTAATTTGTTAAGTATATATAAATATAACCCAAAAGGTCGCCATTCAAATATAGCTAAAGCTACACATCGTCAAACAATTATTTCTGTTGCTGGTGAATTAATTTTTGTCAAGAAATCAGTTTTTGTGTTGTGTGAAACAATAGAATGGAATTATCCAATGCAAGAAAATTCAAAATCGCAGGCATGTGATGAAGTAAAACATGTAAAAAAAAGAAAAAAAAAAGATGAAGAGCTCATGAAAATTGCAGAAATTTTTGAATCCAAAAATCAAAATCAACAAATAAGAAAAGTTACTATGTAATTATTGAAGATTAATACACTTAAAGATATCAAAGATGCTGCCACTATTATTGATGATTGATATTGGTTGATTAATAATATTGTCATACAAACTCATTAAAAATGATAAAAAAACATTTGATCCTTACTTTATATTAAAATTTGTAATTTTTTTTTTTTTTTTTGCTTTGTATTGGAAGCGGCTTGTTTTTTTTCATTATGCTCAATTTAGTGCATTAATATCTATAACACTTCACTGGGGCATGACTATTCTAATCCAAATTCAAAGTAAATATTTACTCTTCAATTGACGAACTTATAATCAAAAAAATACAAAACACATTTATTCGTATGATTTGAGCAATGTGGCAGACCAAGCTTTAATATGGTCACAGCCCTATTTATCAAAACAAAATCACTTTGACATTAATAATAATTTGTCATTAAAAACATTACAAGTTTTGCTTTTGTAGTAAAGAAAAAAAATACATATCACTTACTTTGGTTTAAAAAAAATAGCTGATCGATTTATGTATAAAATCTTTCAGTATTATTACTTATTATTGCATCTCACATGATTTTGATTTGGCCGAAAAGACTAGAATAATAGATTAGAATATTCTTTTAGTGTTTGTAGTCGATTTTGTGTTAGTCGATTTTATCGACTTAGCTGGCTAAGCCAGCCGATTTTTTGAAAAATCGACTTAACGTTAGTCGATTTAATACTGGGTCATATAGAAATTATAATAACCAATCAAATTTTACAAAAAAAAATGTATAATAATAATAAATAAATTTGCATTCAATCGGGTAACAGATCAAAGTCGCTCACATATATACGTACGTACATTATCAAGAATTCCAATTTTATAAAATTTTATATAATAATGCGTATGCATTCACATAAACTGGTTTTCTTAATTGGGAAGATAATTACTAGTATAACTGCATATGGATTCAGAATATCGCCCACGACGATACTTCTTGATTTCTCTGACAATGATGCAACAAATTATGTGTGCTGACCTGAAGATTATACACAAGGTCCAAAACCTATTATTACGAGCCATATTATATACTGATCACATAGATACACATCACTGTAAACATGGTACTGGTACAAGTCTTCCGTTATAATATTAAACAACAATGTATTCAATAAAATGACAAAGATCAAATAAATAAAAATGAATTTTTTGTTCGATAA